ATATATATATATATAATATATAGGTAAAGCATTTTTCTTAACTAAAATGTTTAACAGCTAAGCCATTTAAATAGGGTTTAGGATTTTGCCCCAGCCAAGACCCCAGGACAGGGGAGGTGGGGTAGTAGTGGTCATCCATGAATCTCTTAGTCTTCAGGAGCCTTGCTCCCCAAGTTTCTGGCTGTGAGACCCTGTACCTGAAGCTGGGTTCACAAAATCAGTTGCCAGTGTTGCTACTGTACCAGCCTCCTGTTGTGTAGCAACCTCCCTGCTTGATGCTGCTGGAGGTCATCTTGAGGCTGGCGATGGAGTTCCCTAGACTTATGGTCCTAGAGAACTTTAATCTGCTTTCCCTGGTTTTGGTCTCGGAAGCGGCCCAGGAGTTTATGACTACCATGGCAGCCATGGCCCTATCCCAGATCATCTCGGGTCCGACTCAGGACAACGGCCACATGCCGGATATGATTTTCATGTTGGAGCAATGGCAATAGGACCTGGGGGGCGCTGTTGGTTTCCCCTTTGTCATGGTCAGGTCATGCCTTGGTGTCCCCGAGATTCTCTTATGCTACCCTCCCTCTACAGGGAGGCTGGATCCATTCAAGCGGTCTTCCCCCAGTGACTGATGGATCTGATGGGAACTTTGCTGCACAGTCCTGCTGAAGCTCTGATAATGTTCTGGAATCAAAGCGTGGCTGAGGTTTTAAACAGGATCGTGCCTGTGCACATTCTTTTAACCCTTCACTCTCGCCCCTCCCTGTGTTTCACGGAGGAGCTGCAAGTTTTGAAAAGAATTAAAAGATGCCTAGAACGCTGCTGGAGGAAGACAAGGGATGACTGTGACTTCTACTTATAGCTGCCATTAAGGCCTATCTCATGGCAGTAAAAGTGGCGAAACATTTCCCCGCTCTTATGGCATCCTCAGAGCAGTGCCTAATGGCCCTGTTCAAGATCACCCAGTCCCTCCTGGGCCGGGGGGGGGGGGGGGGGGGCTCGGATATTCATCTTAAGGGTCACACACCTGACAGACAAAGTTGCTCGAATTCATTCCCAGATAGACCCCATGCATTGTGCTTGGAAAGTAGTTATTTGGGAGCAGTTCAGTCCTGTTGGACCTGATGAAGTGGACAGGCTCCTTGATGCTGTCAGTACAACTACCTGTCAATTAGATCCTCATACCTCTTGGCTGATGAAACCCTCCAGGATGGTGACTGTCAGGTGGGTTCAGGCAGTGATTAATTCTTCACTGCAGGAGGGGACATTCCTGGGTCCATTTAAGGAGGTCCTGGTTTGCCCCCCTCCTAAAAAAAATAATCATCTCTTGATCCTACCCGGCTGGACAATTTTCACCCAGTTTCCAGTCTTCCCTCTTTAGGGAAGATGGAATAGAAAGTTGTTGCTTGGTAGCTTCAGATGAAACGGATTATCTGGACCCCTTCCCATCAGGATTCAAGCCCGATTATGGGACAGAAACAACA